CGTCTGAAATCTTTACTCAAGATACACTAAACGTGTTCTTCTGTAAAAAACAAGAAAAAAAAGAAATTATCACTTCCCAACTTGACTCTCACTGGGATTAAACATGACAATAGGTCTGATCTGATTTCATCATCATTTAAAAAAAAACCATTTATTATTTTTCACTTTATGTTTCGGTGTGGGAGCAACCTGTTGAAATCCTTACTTAATGTATACTAAGCTGATCTTCTGTTTATTAAGATAATCGAAAATGAATCTTGATGTGAATGGAAGGGGAGAGGGAGTGGGAAAGGGGAGGGTTGTGGGTGGGAGGGACGGTATGGGGGGGGGGGGAGCCATTGTAACCCATGAGTCGTACTTTGGAAATTTATATTCATTAAATAAAAGATAAAAAAAATAAATAAAAATAAAAATAAAAAAAAGAAAAAAATATTTTTATCTATAGTTTTAAAATGTTTTATCATTAAACATTAATTTTGGATTAAAATAATTATTTTAATAAGAAAAACATGCAAATTGCCTATATATAAAATTATTCAAAATTACTGGATTTAAAAGAACAAAGTTAAGCTAAATATTCAAAATTATTTTGCTTATTAGGAAAAAAAATTAAATAATAGTAACCACTTGGTTTTTATGAAAGTGTCTTTTTAAAAAAGATTTATTTATTTATTTATTTATTTGAACAGAAGGAGAAAGGGAGAGATAGAGAAAGAGAGATCTTCCATCAACTGGTTCACTCCCCAAATGGCTGTAACAGCCAGTGATGTGCTACCCTCTGGCCAGGAGACTGGAATTCCATCCAGGTCTCCCACATCAGTGGCAGAGGCCCACGTACTTGGACTGTCTTCTGCTTTCCCAGCACATTACCTAGGGGCTGGATTGGAAGTGAAACAGTCCGGCACACTTATGGGATGCTGGTATTACAGGAAGTGGCTTAACCCACTGTGCCACAATGCTGGCCCTGAAACTGCCTTTTTATATTTGAGTACTAGTGGTGAGCAACTCCTGAATATAGTCATACTTTGATCATTTTGGGATCAAAATTACAGTCTAACCTCGTCCAATGCCAGCAGGTAGTACCTTGTCACCCCATGTCAACAGGAAGTAGCTCTAAAGGCAGATCGGTGACCCTCTACCCTTCCTGGACTTCTGGAACTAATGTAATCCTATACAACTCTTGCTTTATAAAAAAACAAAAGGTGGGGGGATGTTAGTAAAATGGCGCAGTCTTATCTATGATGTGATCTACACCCCAACACCATCCTAGACTCTAACCGTTGCCATGGCTGGAAGCCAGGTGACCCCATGGCCAACCACCAGTGTCAGCCCCACCACCATCCTAATGGTATTCGCTGCTCCTACTTCCCTACCCACCCCTGGCAAAGATTTAAGAGGACCTATTCCTGAACATGTGGCTCTCTTTCTCTCTGTCTCCTGATCTCTCTTTTTCTGTCTCTCTCTCTTGATCTCTCTCTTATGTTCTTCTCCCTCTTTTCCTTCTTTGCCCCTTCCCTCTTGTCTGTTGGGTTTCCTCCAATAATCCCTTGCCCTTGAAAAGAAAATATAGTCTAAGAAAACATACAGTACAATTCATTAGACTTATAATAAATAGGACCTATAAAATCAAAATGTAAATAATCTAAATAGCAAACGATGAGGAAAGTTAATTAAGTTATAGGATATTCACAAGAAGGAATATGAAAAGTCTGAAATTTTGGAAAAACGCTCATAATTTAAAATTCAGAATTCGATATATAATTCTATAACATTTTCTTGATGTGAAAAATATGAAAACACAAATACACAAATGGAATAAAGATGTACATCACATTTAAAACAAATGTTTGAGTAGTAGGCATATTTTTACTTCTTATTTCAATATTTGTATTATCTATGTTTTAAATCAGAAAATATTTACAATGATAATGCTTGAATTATTCATTATAAATTTTTATTCTGATTTCTCCAGCCTTGGGTTTGCTGTAAATCTATATACATATGCATAAACAAATTCACTTCTAAAAGTTTATCATTACAGTAGCAAATGAATTAAAAGAGAAGGATCTCATAAACCTTTTCCACAGGGATAATCAGTGTTGAGTTGAGTTTGTGGTGTGCTGCTTAGGATCTTGCCGTGTATCTACTGATAAACATGTCTATTGTACAATTGTCTATTGTATACATTTACTATACTATTGAGAAACAATAATATTTTGAAAATTCCTTTTACATCCAATAATGAAATAGAGTGTTTTGAATCCAACTTGGTCTCAAATAGAGAAAAATCTGATAGAGCTTTCCAAAACTGAGAATTTTCTGTCCTGTTTATCTATCACGTTTACACCTTAGAATATAGTAGTGGACTCTTTATCTGCTCATGTTTACCACTTTAGAGAGAATATAGTAGTGACTGATTCAAGAGCTGCATAGGTTTCTGGAGTAGATAATCTTCTAAATATAAAATACAAAGAAATCTTAGAAAAACTATTCTTCCTAAATGGCAAAACTTACCTGCTTTTGTGAGTTAACAGTTTTCTCCCAGTCCCTAACCTCTAATATTCTTACTTCATTCTCTGCTTTGAATGTCTTCTACTTACTAATTTTGAGTGTTTCCTACCTACTTACCTTTTCCTATTTGATTTAGTGTTTCATAGGAGCCATGGTATATATTAACTAAATTGTCTTAATTAGTAATGCATATTAACGTATAAAAAAGTCAATTTTTAAAATATTTATTTATGCTTTTGAAAGTCACAGTTACAGAGAGAGAAAGTGAGAGACAGAGAATAAGAGATGCTCCATCTGCTGTTTCCCTCCCCAGATAGCCACAATAGCCAGAGCTGGGCCAGGCCAAAACCAGGAGTCAGAGGGGCTCTATCTGGGTCTCCCATGTGGATAGCAAGGGCCCAAACACTTTGGCTGTCTTGTGCTGCTTTCCCAGGCCATTATCAGTGAGCTGGATCAGAAGTGGAGCAGATGGGACACAATCCAGCAGCTGTATGGGAAGCTGGCAATGTAGGTGTAGACTTGAACTACTATGCCGCAACACTGGCCCCAAAAGTCAGTTATTCATAATTTGCTCAGATAATCAGGAAGCAGTTTGCTGTGGCTTTTTCTTTACATGTTTCACATATGTAATTTATCAGGGACATGGAAACTATAGCAAGCATTGTAGTGAAGAGTGATTTACAGTTTTCCCACTTCTGAGAAAAAAAATAATTGGGAACAAGTAATATAAATATGAAAATAATATGTTTTGCTGCTAACTCTTTCTCCTCTTCTCTCTTCACTTTCAGATTTGAAGCACTCTTTGCTGAGCTGGAAGAACGTCAGGAAGAGTTGGGCATTGCTGCCTTTGGTGTCTCTATGACTACCTTGGAAGAAGTTTTCTTTGCGTAAGTGATTATGCATGAGGAAGGCAGAGGAAAACCTCCTCTTTTAATATCATATTTCAGTTGGAAAGCAGTTCTCATTTTGTATAATGCTGGAGTAATGTAGAAATCATAGTAGATTTCTGGCTATGCTAGTCTGTTAATGCCAGGTGGATTCCCTTATGTACCTAACTCCACTAACTAGTGCTGTGATGCTGCACCAGTGAATTGTGGAACTTATGTGAGAGCAGCAGATCAGAGATCAGGGACACAGGACACTCAGTGTTAAACCTGAGGCTATGCGACTGCATAAAGATTGACTGCTTTTATTGAATACCCAGGCAGGAGAGTATTAGGAAAGACTGTGTGTCAGACTTTCTGGCTTGGATTCAGGTGCCTGTGTCTTTCAAGGATAGAGGAGTTAGGATTGGCCTAGATAGTAAAATTACATGGTCATAGAAGTCTTGGATTTAGCTGAAGGTTTTATTAGGGAGAACTCTACAATCTTGATCTAATCTTGGCACTGTAACCTACTTAACTTGTGTGTGGTTTGTATTCTGAGATTAACATGTGTACTTCTCATGCAGCTCGACAAGGCTAATGCAATGTGTCAGAGCACAGGGAAGAATCACACAGAATTGTGATAGTCTTTTCAATATAATTTATTATTCAATATTCAATACCACTCAATATATATACAATGCACACATCTAAAGGTCAATACCACCTAATATGTCATTAGTCCATAGGTCAAAACACACATCTAGGAGTAAGGCAACTTCCAGAAATATCCAGCAGTAGTAATAAGTATAACACCCACAAAGCATAAAAGCATAACCAGTCTAAATACTCATGGCTAAGGTTGTAATATGAATGCTGCATTCTCAAGGTTCATATCACGGTCATGAAAAGTCAAAGTCCAAAGTCCAGAGTCCGAAATCTCTATTACCACTTGGAGAGATGGATCTCAGAACAGTCACTTACAGGCAGGAGTGGTGGGATGACTGCACTCTGGGCAGTAGGCTCGAAGTTCCAAAGTGGACAGCAAGGTGAACAGTTGGAGAGGTGACTGATGAGAGGTCCAGTCCGGCTCCGATGTCAGCTCGGGCAGCAGCTGGGATGTTCAGGCGAGGTTGGCTCCAGCAGAGTGGCGAGCAGAGCTTCAGTCAGTGAAGACTTGGGCAGAGTTCCACGTGCACTGAGCCATGGTCACTGAGGGGATGAAGAGCCAGGTGTGAAGCTTGCCTTTTTATCCTCCTTCTGGGGTGGGTGGGTAGTGAATGTGCCCTGATGTGTCACCAATCACAAGCTCATCTTTTGGGGTGTCACCAACCAGATGTTGGTGTCTGGGTGTGACCAATGGTGTTTTAGGGGTCTTCTGGATGTGGCCAATCGTGGTGCAGTAGTGTAGGTAAAGTAATGCAGTAACCAGCTGGTTGGCTTCTTCTAATGATGTAATGTCTCCCTGTCCTTATCAGGCCTCACCACCTGTGTCTGTTCTGACAGATGGTCTGGGCAGTTCCTGGTGCTTAGTGGCCTTAGCTTAAGTAACTCCATTTTGGTTTTGCTTTTTCTCTTTCTTTTTGGGTTAGTGGTGCTCTGTAACTCTTTTGGGACTCCTGTGGGATTCCCCACAACTTGCACTGTGTGGAAATTCAGAGAGAAAGTATCCTGGGAATTCAGGATACTTCTAAGGGAATATGAGCTGGTTAGCTGTCAGAAAACTTCAAAAAGTATTATCTGAGGTCTAAATTTCATTCTTTCAGGCCTCAAAACAATCTTGTGAGTCTCAGTGTCTACAAAGTGTAGTGACTCTCAAGTTAACAAAGTAAACCTAAGAAATGTACAAAGATACTTCAAAAAGTTCATGGAAATGAAATAAAAAGAAAAATTAATTTTGGTGAAAAGATTTTGAAATTCATGGGGCTAGTCTTCGAGCATTGCAGGTAAAGCCACTGCCTGTAACACTGGGATCCCATGTGGACACTGGTTGTGTCCTAGCTGCTCCACTTCTGATCCAACTCCCTGCTAATGGCCTGGGAAAAGCAGCAGAAGATGGCCCAAATGTTTGGGCGAACTGATCGAAGCTCCTGGCTCCTAGCTTTGGCCTGGCCCAGTCCTAGCCATTACGGCCATCTGGGGAGGGAATCTACAGATGGAAGATCTCTTTCTGTCTCTTCCTCTCTCTCTGTAACTCTTTTTTTTTTTTAATCTACTTCTAAAAAAGAAAACCATACATAGTTTTCTAATAGCACAACATTTATGAACTTTTTGATGAATGTATAACATATGACTATACCTATCTATCTAGAGAGAATAATATTACTTGATGAATTTAGAGTTAGAAATATAACAGCAAAGGAAAGCAAATAATAATATATTCTTGTCAGTTCTGTTTGCTTTATCCATTAAAATACTACTACTAAGACTCAAAGGATTTTTTTTAAGGAGCATATTTTGTCACCTTCATGTACTGATTCCACAGTGTACTAAGCTAGTTTTTTCATTGTAATTAATTAATTCATGGTTTAGTAGAAACAGTATGAGCAGTAATGTAAGATAAATTTAGGTTTTTAACCATTCCTGTAACAATGCTAATTTCTAGATGTCACAGAATTTATTTAACATCATCAAGATTCAGTTTAACCTTTTTAAAGGGGTTAATATGAGGATGGATGGCAGGTTTGTAATAGATAAAGTTCAATGGCTAGATCATAGTAGTTACCCCAAAAAGGGTACCATGATTGCAGTGATAAGATTGACTCAAAAAGAACATAAAACTGATTAAAAGTTAATATTTACTGAGTTTTAGCTATAAATTAGATATCATTCTAAATGGTATTTATTGATATTTAATAATTAAAATCCAGTGCATTCTATGAAATATATTCTTTTATAGTATCCACTTTGCCAGTGAAGACATAGGCAGGGGAAAGATTATATAATCCTTTAAGAGATTATATAGATCCTCTAAGACTCCACCAAACTAAGAAGTGGCAGTTTCAAACCAACTTAATGGAATTTTTGTGTCATTTGCTTTTCATTTGCATACTTATTATTATTATTTCTTATTACAGAAATCTAAAACACTGTTCATTTATATCAATATTTTATATTTTTGCTGATGTATATGTGAGAAAATATTTCTAATCTTGAAAATAGAGGAGTATTTATCTACATTTTCTTCTAGCATTATTTTTATTTTACTCAATTAAAATTAGTTTTTTGCATGAGACCAGATATTGGATCTAATACCCACTCCTATTGGTTACTTAGTTATTTCAGTGCCCTTCTCTTAAAATTATTTCTGTATGATTGCTAGATATACTGATATTTCTTCCAAAATTTTTAATGCAACCATAAATCTAGGCTTTGTATTCTAATGGTAACTCAATCCATTAATGTTTGTTAGTGCAGGTTCCCTTCTTTTGCAGAATTACACTTTAGTTCTTATTACATATGGATATATTACTTTGTCAACTAATTTTTTTCAGAATATCTTACTTTTTCTATTTAATTTATCTCTGGAATTATCTGAAACATTTATTTGTATTCTATTTCCTATTACCTATTTTATTTATTTCTCTTTTTTGGTAAGTTATATACAAAATATGGTTCGAAATTTAAAATAGCAGTCCACCAAAAACTAAGACTTACACATCTTATATCTAAATAAATAAAGGAAAAATTTATGGAACTCCAAGAAAAAATATAAATTCACATTAGTATGAGAATATTTAACTTAGTTCTCATAGAAACTGCAGATTAGACTTTACTAATGTAATTTCTAATGTAACTTCCAAGGTTATCTTTTTCTATTGTTCTCTCTCTTTTGTATTTACTTATTTATTTTTTTATTTGACAGGCAGAGTTAGGCAGTGAGAGAGAGACAGAGAGAAAGGTCTTCCTTCTGTTGGTTCACCCCCCAAATGGCCGCTATGGCCGGTGCGCTGCGCCAATCCAAAGCCAGGAGCCAGGTGCTTCCTCCTGGTCTCCCATGCTAGTGCAGGGGCCCAAGCACTTGGGCCATCCTCCACTGCCTTCTCGGGCCATAGCAGAGAGCTGGACTGGAAGAGGAGCAACTGGGACTAGAACCCTGTGCCCATATGGGATGCCAGTGCCACAGGCGGAGGATTAACCAAGTGAGCCATGGGCGCCAGCCCCCCATAAAGATTTACTTACTATATTTGAAAAACAGAATTACAGAGAGGTAGAGGCAGAGAGAGAGAGAGAGAGGTCTTCCATCTGCTGATTCAGTCCCCAAATGGCCACAACAGCTGGAGCTGAGGCGATCCAGGAGCCAGGAGCTTCTTCTGGGTCTCCCACATGGGTACGGTACCCCAAGAACTTGGGCCATCTTCCACTGCTTTCCCAGGCCATAGCAGAGAGCTAGATTGGAAGTGGAGCATCTGGGACTTGAACTGGTGCCCATATGGGATGCTGGCACTGCGGGTGGTGGATTTACCAGCTACGTCACAGAGCTGGCCCCTTCTGTTGTTCTCTTGCACCCTCCCCACACTCCTACATATACATTCATACACACCTTTGTGTTCTTAATAAATAAATTGAAAGAACATTTTGGAGAGTTTGTTACTTCCAGGACTGCCTTGCAAGAAATGCCTAAGAGAGCTGAAAGAAAATATTAAACATTAGTGAAAAGGATATGAAATCATAAATCCCACTGGTGAATATAAATACCTATGCACCAAGATTAATGTAACTCTGCAATAAAAATGTGCAAATTATTTTCATCCCTCAGATGAAAGGTAAAATTTGTTAATGGATACACAATATAAAAATGTACAAGTAAACAATGCAAGAATACAAAGTGTGTGTGTGTGTGTGTGTTGGTGGTGAGTAGGGAAGTAAGTGTAAAGGTTTTCTGTACAATTAAAGTTTTTATGAAGTTTTTATAAATTAATAATAGTAGGTTGAATGTACAAGATACTGTATGCAAGCCTAAAGCTATCCACAATGAAAGAACCTGTAAAAGATACACAAAAGATGAAGATCTCCAGGATAGA